AGAAAAAAGTCCTAGCTACAAAATAATTTCAAAAAAGTTCTTTTTATCCAATCAAAATTGTGGAACAACAATAGTTTTTTTCTCGTTACATGAGTGAAAATTGACTCATTTTTTTTCCTTTCTTGTGTCAAAACTTTTTAGCGGTGGAATGAGAATACATACTAACAGTTTCGCGGCTAAATGTTGAAAATCTAAACTCTCTTGAGCCACGGATTTTGCATGAATGGTTTTTATGTTCGCAACGTAACTAGTCTGCCGACACATGCGAATGAATCATTGAATGAATGTTGAATTCTATGTCCACTAATGCACTTTGTGATGAGACTGGTTTTTATAAACTGAAATTTTCCACAAAAATAGTATATCATAAATGAGTTTTTTCTGTGAAATAAAATCTTTTTAACATACAAAAATCAACGAGTACAAGCAATGACCTCTATAGACGCTTAGTCTGATTGGATAATAGAGGGTGGGAATGATGCGAATGAAGATAGAAATAAAATAGCAGGCATTATAATCTATTGTTAGTTTGTGAATAGTATTTGTGTCTTTATCTTATTTCCATCAAACCATCGATTTTATACGTTATTTTCGATCCAATAATCGTTATTGTATTATGCCCACCAACACCAGACAATGCGTGATATGCAAAAAAAGAGTTGTTGTTTCTAAAAAAGATTATATGACAATCGCTTCAAGTGATAGCGAGAATAAACTTCGTATGGGTTATTGGTCTTATTTTCAAGTTGATGTATCTAATCAGTCTTTTATTAATAATTATGTACACAAACAATGTTATTATAAAATTACAAGGAAATTATCACCAATTAAAAAGAAGAAACAAGAAATTAATAAATGTCTAGAAAATTCGTCAGATATGTTTAATGATACTCCGTTAAATGAATCAGTTCCAAATATAGATAATCGCATGTTGAATCTTGAAGAAATGGTAAGTGCAATATATTTGAATTCATAAAGAGAAGATAGTTTTTATTCTGTTATAATTTAGGTTTCTGTGACAAGTCAATTGTCTAATAATTGGAATGGTTTTGAAGAAGGTACACGTGATATACATTTAGACATTATCACATCGGCTCTACCAGAAGCAACAGCTAATGGATCATCAAAAACAATTGGTAAAAACAATGGTAACTGATAATATAGAAGAAGACATAAATCTTATCATTAAATAATTGCATTAGTTTCATTAGAGTCCACTGGTATCGATCTAAATGTCGGTTTCATGCAAGTAAAGCAGAGTCAAAGTAAAACACAAGATTTTCTATCAAAATCATTAAATATTACACAATTTATAAATGAACAAGTGAGTCAATTCAATCAGTAATATATTTCTCTGACGAAAGCATGGAAGCCTACGACCGATATACTTATATTCTAACATTTTGTCTTCTAAATTTTAGATAAATGAAGAAAATCAATACCAAATAGATTTTGAACATGACAAAACCACTCGTGAATTTATTGATCGGTCGAAAGATTTATCTATTCAAAATGTTATAATTGAAGAACAAACAAATATAAATAAATCAAAAATAAACAAGAATCAATGTAAATCGTCCATCATTAAAAATAATCGTAAAGTAGTTATATATAGTTTAATTAAATTAACAAATCGTATATTGAGCTATATTTTCTCATTTTAGACTCAATCACAATATATAAATTTGAAAAGACAACGTAGCTCATCAAGAAAGTCTAGTAAACGATTTTTAACATCATCATCAAAGAATACAAAAGATTTTATGTTGTGTTATGAAGATGATACTCAACTTAATAAAACATTTATAAATGGATTTGAAGAACTATTTTCCTGGCTTAGACATTTATTAATGAAAGAAATAATTGTTCCAATGACCGATATTAAAGTCCATTATGAAAACATTTTACGTAGGCGGAAAGAAACCTATTCGCCTTCCATATTACTTGCTAGTGCCATTCGTGCACGTTTAGAATTGAAATTTGGTCAGGACATAGTGTTCTATCGTAGAGCTAAATCTGAAGGCTTATACATTGCTATTAATGATTTGTCTCTTGTTCTTAACAAGTTGATGTGTACCCACTCTAATGAGCACATACAACCTCAATGCAGTATTTCAACCATCAGAAATGAAAGAACTCAACATATACGATGTGAATCGATGTTTGATATTATCAAATGTCTTCGAGAATCCATTGAAAGTTATTCACATTATTTTTTAATGTTGAGTAAAAATCGTCTTTCTCTTGTTGATTTTAATTCATCGATGTTCTGGAACAGCATTCCTCTTGCTTTGAAGAATTTTATTGGAATATTAACTACAAGCAACAGACAGCTAAATGAAATTAAAAAAAATTACGATTTTTATTCATGTATGGATGTCATGATATATTTAATCTATTGACAAAACATTTAAATATTTTTATGTTGTAGTCTTTAATGAAGATATGTTTATTAACCACCGTAAAAAATTGAAAATAGCGTCCATCTCTTACGATATCATCAATGCAATTAATGAAAGGTTCATCACGCCTAAACACTACTTGCTGTCAAATGAACTATTTAGGCATGAAAAATCTGAACAACTCCTTACAATTACAAATCGTATGGGACATACATGCAGTTATCATACCATGTGTCGATTACAATACGAAGCTGCAGAAAAGGTACGACTTTTATCTGATACATTGAAACAAGATCAACGACCATCATGTGCCATTATCAATCATCATTTTGCTGTAAAGGTAGCTGACAATTTCGACATGAACAAAGAAACTTTACATGGTCAAAATAGTTTACATATGCTTAATCAAATTATTGTACAAACATCAGAGTAAGTGCTTATCGAATTTGTTGTGCATGAGTTCTTTTTATACTTTTACTTTAGAAATGATGAAATTCCTATAATTTCCAAAGATCTTATTAATAGCATCATTGATCAAATTTCCACTTCTGCTTCATCAGCACCTGTAACAATTGCAACAATAACATCTAAAGACTTGTTAAAATATGAACCATTTATTGATTATTCATTCGATACAAGTCTATTAGCTTATAGTCTTTCAAAATATTATTCTATGTTTAATGAAGATGGTACATTAACTAAATCAAAATCCATACAATTTCCACTCTTATCAGGATTTTTTGCTACTCATTTAACACCTCAAAATCGACCTATTCATTCAATAAAATTTTGTACACCAATTAAACAAAGTCCAAATGATATTCTTACAACTGAGATGTGTTTACGTGAAACAAAAACTACTATGGTCGAAACACATCATCAAAAACTTGCTGTCGTGGTTGTTGATGAAAAATTATATACAAATTGTATGAAGGTATATATAAATAGATATATATGTTTTTAATATTCGATATTTTGCTTATATATTTGTACTTTAGGTTATTAGAAGCAATCCAACTGATTTTGAATATGTTTTTATATATCCAGGAGATTTTCATCTTATGAAAAATACAATGATCGTCATTTGGCAAATATTAGAATGCTCCGGTATTGAAGATATATTAAACATTATTTATAAAGGTGCAACACTTAAATCAATATTAAACGTTCATCATTTTAATAAGTCCTTTAGATCCTGTAAATTATTATATACAGCATTACAAATGTTACTTGTGGAATCATACGTAGCAGCAAATACATCATTAGCTATTGATACAACATCAACATCAAATTCTTTATTTTTATCTAATGAACTTCGTGTACTTTTTGAGAATATTCCTAATGAATATAATACAGATTCAGTTAAACAAATATGGTTTAAAAAATTAGTTACTATTATTGAACAAGAACATACAGTATCAAAAATTTCAATTTGGGCAGAAAACAAAGCCAAACAATCATTATCATTTAAATTTTGGTACTTTATTTTACGTCATTTATTTGAACCATTGATAATATTATATTGTTCTATTCGAACATCAAATTTTAATTTACGGAATGCGTGTGTGTCGAAATTGGGTCCTTTATTTTTTAGTACCAATCATAGGCATTACGCACGTCTTTGTGCTCAACATTTATTTGATATTTCAACAGCTAGTTCATATTTACTTGAAAGATTATCAAACTCGTTTTCTGTTGTTAGAAGTCATCGACCTTTTTCAGGTAAGTTCTCTGAAGATCATGTTCAAAATTGACGAATAACTACCTATGTTTTTTTTAGCAATCGCACTAGATCAAACTATCGAGTCATCCATCAACAAATTCGGAAAAGGTCATGGCGGTATTACTGGTAAATTTTCTGATGAAACAATCGATATATGGACCAATTCATATAGTTTCCGTGCAACATTAACAAGTATTTTGCATGAAATTTGTGCAATTGAAACTGAAGAGAATTCTGTGGATTCTCATATTGAATGTACAGCAACACGACAAGCAATAGACAATCATGATTTAAATCTGTTGTTGATCAAGCTTAAACAAGAAGATATATTTTCGTCCAACAATCCTCAATTTCGAAAATTATTGTCTGGCAAAATTGTACATGATGATATAATAAACAACATTACCAGTTCATTTGTTCGTGGTCAAGAGGCCATGTCAATGTATATTAAAGATCGATTAATAAATAAAACAGTAAATGTTGAAGAACCATTAAAAGCAATGTATCTTTTGAGTGAGTATTTTCACTTATGAATATATTACTATTGATAACGTTTCTGTTTAGAATTATCTGATGCTGATAGTTATACACCTGAACAACAACTTCATTCGAAAAAAAAACACCTGCTTCACCACCATTCGAAAGACTTGACAAAGATGTTTAATTCAATTGATAGACTTATTCGTAATACCCTTATTATTGCTGAACAACGAAATCTTTCGTTATCATCTATATTTTCATATGAATTTGCTCCAGCTCCATTATCTTTATGTGACTTACACAACTACGAAATAATGAATCAACAACAAAAAAGCTCGGTAATAGATTATATTAAAAGTCAGTTTCCTAAATCGTTTTCATCTTTATGTCCATCTATTGTTGGAAAACAAGCTTTAATTATCGATGGTGGTAGTATTCTTCAAATTAAACCAGTAGGAAAAAAAATCACATTACGTCAATATGCTAATCAATTATTAAAAATGGTGAGTTTAAATAAACAGAAATTTTATGCAATGCGTTTTTTTGCTTTAGATAATCATTTATAATTTTCATCGTTATAATCGTATTGATGTTGTCTTTGATTCACATAAAAGCAAAATAGAAAAGTCTTTTATTCCACGTCATGCAGGTAAAAAAGTTTTACCTGTTTTTGATATTAAATGTGATGATATTCTTGATTCTGATTATCAACAATTGATAAACAATAATCGAGCTACAGTTGCTGCTCGTGTTCGTGAATGTTGGTGTACAAATGCATCTATTGAAACACTTCCTGAGGGAAAGATATTAGTTATTGCTGGACCTGATGATTCATCAGTTACATTGAAAAAATCTCATGATCCAACTGAAGATTATTTACTTGTGTCGAATCATACTGAAGCCGATACACGGCTATTTTTACATGCTCAAGCAATTTCTTATGAAAATATTAGATCCATTACAATTCAAGCAACTGACACTGATATAATTATCTTAGCAATAGCACATATATTATATTTAGATGTGGACAATGTGTACATCAAGTCTTTCAATACCAAGGCAAAGTTCGATGCATTCATTAATATTCGGGAAATTGCTCTTACCATTAGAGAAAAATTTTGTTTTGATCCATGTCTTCTAATTGTTATTCATGCATTATCCGGTTGTGATACACTGTAAACTAGAAAATGAGTTATAGAGTTTAATCGAGGATATTCTAGGAATGCCTATATGAATTCGCCGATGAATTTCTAAATTCTTGAAAATAAGATATTCGAAACATTAAAAATATGAACTTTGATGTTCTAATTAGAAAATCGAGAGTGAATTCATATAGGCATTCCTAGAATTTCGGATTCGATATCGCAATTCGAGCATATTCTAAAAACTAGAAAATCAAATTTGATTTTCTCTTCATCATGTACACTGTAAACTAGACAATAATATTATAAACATGTACTTCATATAAAAGCATCAAATAACATAAATTAATAATTTTAATTTAAATATAAATAATAACATTTAATTTTATTTACATAAATGCATTGGATAACATACATAAATAATTTAACTTTAAACTTAAATAATAACAACATTTAATTAATATACATGCACCAAATTACATAAATTAATAATTTTAGTTGAAATATAAATAATAACATAACATTTAATTTATATAAATACATCAAATAGCATACACAAATAATTGTAATTTAAATATAAATAATAACATAAGATTTAAATTATGTAAATCCATTACATAACATAAATTAATAATTTTAATTTAACTGGAAACAATATCATAGCATTTGATTCATATAAATGCATCATATGAAACACATAAATAATTATAATTTAAATATAAATAATAACACAACATTTAATTTATATAAATGCATCAGATAACATAAATAAATCATAAAATAATTGAAATTGAAATAATATCATAGCATTTAATTCATATAAATACATCAAATGACATACATAGATAATTTTAATTTAAACATAAATAATATCATCACATTAATTTATATAAAGACATCAAATAACATAAATTAATAATTTCAAGTGAAATATAAATAATAACATAACATTTAATTTACATAAATGCATCGAATAACATGCATAAATAATTATAATTTAAATATAAATAATATCATAACATTTAATTTATATAAATGCATCAGGTAACATAGATAAATAATAAAATAATTTAAAATGAAATAATATCGTAGCATTTCATTCATATAAAATA